GGGGGGGGGGTTGTTATTAATGTAGATATATTATGCCCCCATCAACACAATCTAGGTCGTTCAGAATGTCATCTTCGACCTTGCCTGTCAGGGTTAACCTACATTGGGAGGGATACATCCCATACTGTGGTGTTGTGCTGATGCAGAAAAAAAACAACAGAGTTTGAGTCTAGTATGACATATATATAGTCATAGCATAGTATGGGCTGCTAGCAATAATTTTAAAAAGAACAAGTTTTAAGTCCCTTTCACTTTCCATCCAATGTTTTTATTTTGGGGAAACCATGATGACAATATCTACATACACTTCATAAGTTCATATCTTGACACACAGAATGGCACATGACAGTCAGGCGGGGGTTACTCCCCCTCTCTTGCCGCGGACGCTGCACCAACTGACGAGTCAGAGTGATGTTTTCTTTAGTTCATTAAGTCAGAGTCTACCAACACTTGCATCACAATATTAATAATATTCATAAAAACAGTCCGGAACAGATAACACAAAGACTAAAAACGTGAAATCACGGATGGCTTGCACAATTTGCATTTCCCCGACTGATATATATATACATGTCATATAATATCTCTTTAATTTTTGGTTATATCGGTTAATCCAAATTATGGATGTGTCAAACATATTTGGGTCACGACGCGGAGGAATCAGGCGCTCGTCAATTTTGATGCATGTGGTGTTATTGCTGTCAGTATCATCTTAAAGCTTGTTTATCTTAATTTTGATGGAAAAAAATACCAATCTATCTTGAGAAGAAGTGAAGACATTTGAGATAGAAAGATAGAAAGAGGAAAGTTCACTTGGTTTCAGCGATAAAAATAACGAGAAAATAGCCGCCAAATTTGTTAACTTCAAGAGCTAAAGAGTCCTTGAAAACTGAAAAATTACATATTTTGAGCTAATAATCAACGTTTTTCAATATATACTGTACTTCAAATGGAAATGTGTTTATGTTTGGACATAAAAGGGTGGAACAAAAAACAAAAAATTTGATTAAAATTGCGAAACTGGTGGGAAAATGCCCGTTTCTCCAATTTTGTTATTTTGACGAGCGCCTGATTTCACCATGACGCCTCACATTTGTCAATCTCCGACATGTTTGTTGAGTTCTCCATGCCCGACTGTTGGTCATAACTTCAGCCAGCTGTTAAAATGTACTAGGTCTAAGCCCAAAATTGAGATTTGCTACCTTTTTTCACTGCAGTTTCTCAAGTAATCTGTGGTATCACTTCCATGTGCTCAAGAAATATTCATCGAAATTCAAATTCTAAATGCTGAAAAAAGAAAAGGCACAATCGTTAACAGAATGAAACAGTTTTTTTCTCTCTCCCCTATAAAATTTTGCTTTCTGGGCTTTGTTTATTCTAGCTGCTTGCTGATGATATATAAGTGCCGAAGGTTAGAGGTGTTACTAGTGAGTAACATACAGTATAACACAGATAGAGGTCGAACACAGAAGACTCGAAATCAAGCTTCCATCTAACTGAGCCTGCAGTCCCAGTTTGTTTTTTTCTTCTTTATCTTTGTAAGATATCCCTCGAACTACTGAGGCCCGTCCCGACGAATTCGAGCTATCTGTGTTATACTGTACAAAGAAATAACAGAAGGAGAGATAAGAGTCGTAGATATTTGATAGCAAAGAAGAAGTAAACCACACCAGTTTAGTTTTTTAATAAGATTTTTAAGGCATTTGTAACAAATAGATTATTAAAAGCCACACCAGAGAAACCGCTAATCTTCCTCTAAATTTGAGAGAATAAAATAAATGCGTTTCAATTTTCCAGTGGGAGAATCCAGTAAAAGGGTGAAAAAAACTTTTGGACTTAAACAACGAAGAGTTCACGTATGACTTTAAAACAACAGCAAGCTCAGAGAATCAATTTCACACAGTCAACATTTCCATAGCCATCGTAAAATATGTTTTAGTTTTAGTAACAGTTTTATGGCATTTGCAACACAATAAGGTCATATAAGTGCCGAAGATTAGAGGTGTTACAAAAAAGTAACAAACACGAAAAAGAAGGAAGAGAGATGAGGATGATAGATGTTTGATAGGAAAAAAGGAGCAAACCACACAAGAGCATCTGCCAACCACCCACTAAGGTATGTGTGGCATTATGATGAAATCAGGCACCCATCAAAATATAATGAAATTGAAGTAACCAACATTTTTTTTTCCTCATTGAGCAAATGTAATCAAATCTTAGATTTTTTGCTCAACACCTTTTATATTCAATTCATTAAGAAACATATTTTTTCTTCTCTGTGTTGAGTTTAAAACATTGACCAAAGGCACACAAAAAAAAGTAAGCTTGTAGTTTCCAAGGACACTCAAGCTTGGAAGTCGCCAGACTTTCGCAACCATTTTCTCCACAAATTCACTTCTGACACCAGGCGAACCCCACTACCTTCAGTCGCAAATATTTCCACTTCTATTCAAGACAGATGGGTACTTTTTCATCAAAACCAAGACAAATGAACAAGCTTTAACTCACTTGAACCTATTCCCGTGTATTTACGGAACGCGACCCAGCCCGGTGGCTAAATCCATTGTATTTACGTGGATGCGCTTTATCGATTGATATCTCTGGTGTTTTTCAGTTACAAGCTGTGGGAAGTGGCGAGCCAACAGTTGACACACTTGTTTTGTTCCGATAGAAATTTGGTGAAGCAATGTGCAATTTTTAAAACTATTATGGACTTAGTCACCCTCGCATTGCAATAAATGATTTTATTACAAAAGGGGCGAAAAAAAAAAAATTGCATAATAATTCCCAGACATTGCCATTTCAAAATATTGATAAATAAAAACTATTCAAACAATTTAGAGGCAGTTTTTCTTTTTCTGTGAGAGAATTTCTTTCTTTCTTTTGTTGCATTTTAAGAATTACAAAAGTTCTCAGTCTTTTTGTGATTAACGATTCAATCCCAAAACTGCCAGGCTGCAAGGGTTGCTGGGTGAAAAATAGCCTAGGCCAAGTGAGTTAACATCATTATACCAAAAACTCCTTATGCCCCAAAATTGACGAAAGCCTGATTCCACCATGTTGCGAGTGACACACAAGATATGAAACTTTACTGGTCTTCGAGAAAAAGAAATGGAGCAGTGTGCTCACACCGATTTCGCTCAGACAAAACATAAAGAGCTCATACATGGCATCAGATCAACACATCATATATATATATAATATATAATGTGTGTGCCAGGAGAAAGGTCCCAGTTGTCGGCAAAGCTATTTTTGAGCAAAGACAAAAAAAACCCACATAAGTCGTACCTGGTCAAAAATTTAAATCCATCAGAAAACACACTTAAACCATTTCTTTAAAACATATTGAGAGGATTTTATAGTATTTCAATTCTAAATATTTTTAATTTAATTTTTGCACCATGTTCCACTTCACCAAAGGATACTAAAGTGCTAGAAATTGGGTTTTCTCCAAACTTTTTACACTGTGTGTTACAAAATGTAGAAAACTTTAAAACTACTTAAGATATAGAATTTGAAAAATAAAAAACCAGCATGTTCAGCATTGCGTTTGCTACAAGAAAATGCCTTTATTTCAATGTAAAAAAATTAGGAGAACTGGGACCTTTCTCCAGGCACACACATATAGGCCTACAGGGTTCCTCCCATTGACTCCCCGCCAAATTCAAGGAGATTCGGTCAAGAAATTCATTCCGTTTTCGAACACCGAAAGCCTATTTCCGATAGACCCACCACACTTTTCCGAATCGTAGTTTCGATAGTCCAACAAAAATGTTGTTAATGTCCGATCCGCAAAACTTCAAAGACTCCCTGAATTCAAGGAGGTTGCAGAAACCCTGCATATATCATAATCTCTCTCTCTCTCTCCTTCCCTCCTCCCCCCTCTCTCTCTCTGTCTCTCTCTCCTTCTCTCTCTTCTCTCTCCATACTAAGGTAATTCTATGACAAGTCAGCGTCTGCTGAGTACATAAAATAAAAACCAAACCAGTGAACAAACCAGCAAGCTATAAAACACACTGGTGCACAAATAGGCTACCACCATCTTTACAAACATTCCACTCCAAGCTGACATCACAGTATAATGGAATGTAAGATTTCCTATTGCCATTAGAAACAATTCTTACACCGGTCAATGCCTCCCCAAGAGGGACAACTGACAAGACTCAAGACATCAGTTGATTCCTCTCCAAGAGTTGCAACCCGCTACCTCATAACTACAAAGTTCTATCTGACATTTTTGGAAATTTTGAGTTACTAAGACCATGAGGTCAGAAAACTAATACTCTGTCTGCTCTATCAAAATCGTAAGAATATTTTGAGTCGTTTTCAGGATATTCAAAGAATAAAGCTTGACATATATATATATAGTTATACTCAAAAGTTTTGACGCCATGTTTCTCAACAAAACTAGGTATTGAGCAGATAGAACTTTGTAATTCTGAGGTAGCCAACCCTCACTAGACATCGATCCATACCTCTCCATTGGGACCATGGCCCAGTGAATTAAGACTTTGTATCCCCAAGAGACATTTCATGAAATGTCTCTCTCGCCAGCTGACCGAAGAGGAAGATAGGGAGGTTGAGGCCAGTACTGCGGTGGAGAGGATGATGCTTTTGGGAATACAAACAGGAAGCGGAAAATCTAGCATCCTTGCAGGAAAGAACAGAAGAACTTTCAACCAGATATATGCACTGGCACAATCAGTGGAAAGACCCTCAGTGACCTTTTGGAGAGAGCAACGGAGCATCAATGGACATGTCTGGAGTGCAGGGATGTTGCTTCCTGAAACAATGAACAATGAACAATGAACAATCCCCAAGAGAGGCGACCCTCACAAGACATCGGTCGATACCTCTCCACTGGGACAGCGGCTCAGTGAGTTAAGACTTTGTATCCCTAAGAGAGGGGACCCTCACAAGACATTGTCAGGTCCCTCCCCATCCGGGGTCCAGCTGTCGTCGTCGCTGGAGCTATCGCCATCTCCATACTTGTCCAGCAAGTAGGCCGCAGACGGTGGGATTTGAACATCCTCCACCAGCGACACAAGGCTAATGGGCCTTCGCTGTAGCCTCGCTGACCGACGAATCACACCGTTGTCGCTGTTTGTGGTGACCTCATCGTTTTCTACAGTTCTCTGGTGGTCGGACGTTTCCGAGGCAGCCTGCTCGTGTGTCGGAGACCCCTCGCTGACAGGTGATGACCCCTGGCTCGAGGAGCTGTCTGACTGATATCTGACCCCACGAAGTGAGATCACCGGAGAATGAGTGCCGTCAGAGTGTTGTCTCAGCTCCAGAGGGCGCACCGTGAGACGTATGACCTTCTTTCTGCCCACCTCCCCACCCGGCGTGCTGCCCGTGTCGGGGTGCGTCCTTTTACGGGAGGCCGGGCCCGTTCCTCGACTACCAGACGGCGCGCTAGAAGTGGAGGGACCTGGCGATGCAGCAGTAGTAGCTGTCGTCACTGCCCCCCGTGGTATCGCTTCCTGTCCAGCTGTCGACACTTCCCCCCGTGGGATCGCTTCCTGTCCAGCCGTCGTCACTTCCTCCCGTGGTATCGCTTCCTGTCCAGCTGTCGTCACTTCCTCCCGCGGTATCGCTTCCTGTCCAGCTGTCGTCACTTCCTCCCGTGGTATCGCTTCCTGTTCAGCTGTCGTCACTGCTCCACGTGGGATCCCTTCCTGTCCAGCTTCCGACCAATACATGCTAGGTGACGCCCGTCTAGCATTCATCAACAGGTTATGGTCCATGTCCAAGGGATCCAAACCATGAGCCCAGTTGTCCATAAAGTCATCATAATGGCCAATATCCTCGCCGGGCAGACCCATGTCGTCCTGGTCTGTAGAATTAGAATCGTCCAGTTCTCCTCCTTCATAATATTCAAGCTTTGTTCTGAGCCTTTCCACCACAGCGGTCAAGTCTGATGAATTTGTCTGCAGGGCTTTGTTTTCTTCTTGTAGCCCTAAAAAAACAAAGAAAAACAGGATACTCTTTTCTGCTTTAGTAAGTATTTTATGGCAGTTGCAACGCAATTAGGTCACATAAGCGCCCAATATTAAAGGTGTTGTAAAAGAGTAACAAACACAAAGAAAGGAGGAAAGATAACGACGATAGGCGTTTGACAGGAAAGATAGAGCAAACACACCAGGGCACCTTCCAACCACCCACAAACAGATTACAGTGTACAAATTTTGTTCAATTCAAAATATTCTAACCATAGAAAACAAAAGATTTCTATAACTCCGGTAAAGAAGAACACACTCTTACACCTTCCTTAATTCAAATCATATTGGCTATGCCTCTCTTTTGGAGAATATCAAGGAATTCGAGATCTAAAAGGAAGGAATTAGTACCAGGGCAATCTACTTCCTTCTACCATCCATGGGCAAAAGTTGGTCTCAACCATTTTGCCTGAAAACTTTCAAACCCATAGCATCTCAATGGGGCTTTGCCTGAAAAGATAACTGAACTGATAACTCGATACTTGTTACATTTATTTACTCTGTAACAATGGAAGGTCGATCCTAGTATTGAATCATTGAGCGGGTATATCGCCCACAACAAAAACTGCTGGAAACTGTAGCACATCATATCACTCGCACACAACCAGACGAAAACAGAATATTTTTCTTTAAAACAGATTTTTTACAAATCTGATCAGCATGCAAAAAAAAAAAAAAACCAACAGTTCTTTCATCCGAGAGCTCTGATTTTTACCAAAGCATATGGCAGGTCTGAGAGAGTGTGATGTTGGCAAACTGTTCAAATGTTTTCAGTCCAGACAGCAAAACTTTTCAGGAGAGAGAGAGAAAAAAGTGTTTCATTCTTGTAACAATCGCAGCACCTACTTTATGTATTTTTTCTTGCCTTTCTCAACAATAAGAATTTAAATCTTGAACTTAATAAATACAGACTTCAACATAAGGACCACTTGTAAACACTCTGGGTGGTCTTCTTGGGTCGACCTGCACGTGGGCGTTCTTGGACTGATCCAGTGGCTTGATGGCGCTGCCTCAAGCGGACAATGATAGAGTGTGACACTGCAAGCCTTCTTGCAACTTCTCAGGCTCCAACTCCATCCTGCAGCCATGCCATAGCTCTGGCACGATCAAATCTCTCAGCTTCCGTCTTGGTGCCAGGTTGATGCAATACTGGATTTTGAGCAAATGGCTGCTTATATTGCCACCAAAGTGAGCACAGTTCAAGATGGTACGTCTGTTTATAACGTGCATCAGAAATTTAAACAGAGGAATGTCCATGGTGTAGCACACAAGTTGATAAAAAAACAGCAATTTTGGCTAAAATTTCCCAAGTATTTCCGTGCAGCACGTGGTGGTTTTGCCACTTTCGGAAGCTTTGCAGTACACGTTGGTAACCCATTAACATTTTCAGAGCAAAAAATTTTGAAACATTCCTTGTTGTCTTTTTTTTCATTAAAAAAAAATCATGGCTGTCTGTCAAGGTGGTCCTTAACTTATGTTGAAGTCTGTACTTCTTGAGCAACCAATACTACAACAAACAAAAAGATAGAGCAATAAACAAAAAATTTTAATTTTGGTTTTGGTACATCTGGAGAGCTGGCCCAGGATAATTAACACTATCATTATCATTGTCTCTCGTTGCCCTTGACAACACGCTACCTCAGAATTACAAAGTTCTGTCTGTTATTTCTGGCCATTTTGAGTTACTAAGACCATGAGTTCAGAAACCTTATGTTCTATTTGCTCTATCAAAATCATAATATCATTCGGAGTCGTTATCAAGATGTTCAAAGAACTACATTTGAAAAATCTTGACACGTGAAACTCAAAATTTCTCAAAAAACTAGGTGGTACTGGACAGAAAAAACTTTGTAACTTTGTAAGGAAGCCAGCGAAAAAGTCTCCAGAGCTGAGCTAGGATCAGTCAGAGTAACAGCAGCGCTAGGCTCACCCTGAATGATGTCCTGTAGAGCCTTGATACACCTGTGGTCATCCACTTCCTTCCACTTCAGCATCAGCCCACAGCCGTCCCGGACTCCACACCTGTACTCCCGGTGCACGCATCGCTCCTCGTGCTCCTCAAGGTCGCGTCGGAGCACCATCTCAACGCAGCCTGAGTACTTGCACTGCACACTGACATACGGGCAGCACTTCTCATGGTCAGGAAAAACTGGCGAGGAAATAAAATAAACAGACTGACTCCAAAAGTACGTCAAATAGACTCAGTATTTTTTTTTGTTTTAGTAAGAGTTTTACTTTTACGGCACTTGCAACACAACAAGGTCATATAAGTGCCGAAGATTAGAGGTGTTACAAGAGAGTAACAAATTCATAAACAAAACAAGGCCAATGATAGATTTTTTATAGGAAAGATGGGGCAAACCAAATCAGGGCTCCCGCCAACCACCCACAGGCTGACTATAAAATATATGTCAAACAAACAGGCTGAGTACAATGTTGAAAAAGCGGGTCACAGAGAATAAATACAAAAATATATCAAGCTAACTGGAGAACAGCTACTGAGAGAAGAGCCTGTCTATACATCACTTACTCAGCGTAAAAGGGTTTTGTCGAAGATTACAAAAATAATAATAATGATGAGAAATGAAAAACACACATTTTTACAGTAGCGCTAAAGTAGTATACCCCCCAAACTACATAACAGAAATGGCCCACTTTGATTCTTGAAATATATTTATTTTAAAGCCCTTGCCATTATGATCAGCACAATCAACCTTATTAGTCAGTTTAAATTATGATAATGTCTTTACAAGTAAAACAGTTCTATGAAGATTTTTCTTATCTATTGTCTGGCCAAATGATTAGCTCTCCTAACTCTGTCTCAAATGTAGATCTAGATCTAGATGCTAAATGAAAAATTAATTAGAACTCTGCAACTCAAGTTTTATTCATTTTCATTTCAACTCCAAAGCCAAAGACATAATAAGTTAGATCTAGCAGGTGTAGGCTATCTGACTGCTACTACATTGTACTAGCAAATAAGGTTAAATAAAACAAAATTGTGAATTCTTCAGTCAGTCAATAAATAAATTCCATAGCAACATAGAAACTAATAAAGCACAGTTAACACGATGCCAAAACGATGCCAAAACAACACGTTATCAGAGTTTGCAGGGGGAGCAGGGGCGCCCGTTCCCTGACGACCAACTCAGCGATTCGGCTTTTGTGAAAGCATTTTTGTGGAAAGCCCCACAGCATTTTGAAGACTTCAACCTGAACAACTCAAGTGTCTAAAGATGCCGAAATGGATAGTCTACACATTCTTTAATTTTTAAAGATATACATTATTTATACAGCCAGTAGCTTTTATTTTATCGGGTTGAAAACATAGCTTTGTTTTCAGAAGGAAATATAGCCATTGATTTTGACACAAACACCGCTGTTTTGAAGTTCTTTCTTTCCTTTTAAAAATGATATATATCGGATGTGGTAGTGCAATTCAGAAAACGAAACAAAACTGTGAACTGTTCAAATCCACTAAAATACCTGGAGTCACGACCGATCATAAACGTCTACAGGGTGTCCCACCATCGATTAACCCTGCAGTGAGCGCGTCCAGTAAACTGCCTACACAGAGCATGTCAGAGATCTTAAACAAAGGATATCACATTAAAACCCCATCATACCACTACTAGTCCTGCTGTATCACCAACTCCATACAGGTCTCAAGGTGTGACTGTACAAAACCCACAGGAATCTGTGAGTGAATACTACAACAATTCATCCAGTAATTTTCTTACATTCCAGAGGAATCAACTTGGTACATCCAAGCTCAAAATTATCACACTGGATTGTCAGCTTGTTGATCATGTTCAGCACCAGATGCGCCACACCCCGCAGGTTCCTCTCCCGGAAGCGCGAGCGGCACAGAGGACATTTGGAGCTCTCCTTCACAGCCTTCCTGATACACACCCCGCAGAACACATGCCGGCACGGCGTCTCCTGGGGCTCGTCAAGGACATTCATGCAAATCCCGCAGACCAGCTCCGGGTCAGGTGAGGGAGAGAACCTACAAACCTCAAACCTGGACATTCTGTGGTGAGAACAAAACAAGAGTTAACAAACAGGAAATAAACATTGTGCACCCCCCCCCCCTTCCACATCAGTTTTATAAGAGAAAACATAGACTCATTTCACTTACTTTCCTAACCCTAACTCTAACCCTTAGGGCCGATCTCGGGCTACTCAAGGCCTACCGGGGCCCGACTTAAGGCCGGGGCAGAACGAATGCTGGCCCGGTTAAGACCGCAGAGCAAATTTTGGGAAGTTCTCGCAATCGTGGAAAATCGTAGATCACGACAAACTGTGATCCCTGTATCAAGCAAGGCAAATCATCAAGTCTTACTCATTTCAAGATAACAAAACAGATTAAATATGACAACGAAAAAGTGTGTTGATTGCGGGCCAAGATAGGCATCACCAGTGTACTATTAGTTAACGTTTAGTTTTTATCACATACATTAATAAGCCCGCACACTGTGTTTAGCCATACTAGGAGCCGTACGTCTGTCACTCTGGTAGCCTTCGGTGGGTCACAGCTTACTGGGTGATCTTGTAGTTCCGTTCGTTACAGTCCACTATCCATTTGTTTACATCCAGAGAAGAAATCAGGAAGTCTTGATGACCAAATTGGCAACACAAAGAACAAGGACGCAACCTAACTGCAAAACATAAAATTATGGTAAAATTCAGGGGGATATGCCCCCCTGAACAACCCCCCCCC